AGAGCAAACATGAGAAGATAATGAAGAGAGACACAGATGAGGAGATCAGAAGAGATGATACCGTATGAGAAGATACAAAAACTTTTTGTTAATATAAGAGTAGAAAGCAGAGAATAGACACAGATAGAGGCAAAAAATGGGAGAAGATAGAAGATGAAGACAGACAGAATAGAATCAGACGAGAGAGGAAGTGGAGCAGGAGAGAAGAGAGAAGGACAGCGAGGAGATGCACCCATGTAGGAGATATAGAGAAGACAGAGAGAGGAGATGGACATGAGAGCCAAGAGATGAGGGGACAGAGAGAGAGAGAATGAGGGGAAACAGAGAGAGAGAGACAAGGAGAGGAGATGAGAAACAGAGAGAGGAGGAGAGAAGAGGAGAAGGAAGGAGAGAAGGTGTAGAGAAACAAGATTATAACGAGAGGAGAGACATGAAGAGAGCAGAGGACCAGACAGAGAGAGATGACAAACAGAGAGAGATACAGAGAGAATGAGAGACAGAGAGAAGAGATGAGCAGACAGAGACGAAGACATAGACAGAGAGAGAGAACAGATCATTAGATGTACTGAGCGGTGATGTCATACACTGCGACTGATGTCCATACAACTGGCGATGATGTCCACTATGCCACTTCATCATCGGAGGCTGTCCTCACGTTGGTTGGCTCCTGGTGTGGTCTGATCGTACTCTGTCCTGTCAGCAGGTGGAGAACAGGTAACTACGACTCTGGCAGGAACTCAACACCCGAGGGCAAGTGCCCGAATATGGTTACCTGTGAGGCTTGCTGTACCAGACCTCGTCCACTCTCCCTCAGCAAACTAGACCGACAGCCATCAACCTAGATATCTGAGGACCAGACAGAGAGTCCTGTACTAGATCTGAGGACCAGACCAACGAGACACATGCGATAGGCTTTGCATCGACTCGTGACGGATGCGACACTCAGAAGAGCGGGTGTGCGTCGATGTGTAGGAATATACAGAAGAGACATGCTAGTCACTAGGGGGATTCTCTGAAGGGACATACAGGCTGTATCTGAGTTAGTGACAGACACGAGACACCTGTAGCTTGATCTGAGGACAGACAGACACTGTACTGTTCTGAGGACAGACACTGTAAGGTGAGAGTCTAGAGGGTCCCCGCACCAGAGACACTGTATTTTGATTCTGAGGACAGACCAGAGACACTGTACTCGATCTGAGGACAGACAGACACCACTGTCACTGATCTGAGGACAGACCCAGGAACTTACGCGGTTGCTGCTGACCAGACATCCAACTGCTCGCGTTTTGGTGATGAGAGGAGGGTGGCTGCGCTGGTTTCTTCTTGAAAGCACCAAATTCATCTCTTTCTGTTTTTGAGAACATTTCAGGATCAGGTTGTTGGTTCCAACACCCAGTCCTGCCAGATGTAGATGTTTCACCTCCTCTCTGTAGGCCTGTTCGTCGTTGTTCTTGATGACCCACTACTGTTGTGTCGTGTTCGTCTGCGAACTTCACGATGTGGTTAGTCGTGGGTCATCAACGTGAACAGCAGCGGGCTCAGGGAGACGCACTGAGGCCTGTTGGTGAGGAAGTCAAGCAGCCAGTTGCAGGGGTGGGTGCTGAATCCAAGGGGGGCCGGTTTGTTTATCAGATGTCGGGGTATGATGGTATTGAATGCAGAGCTGAAGTCCAGGAACAGCATCCGCACATTAACGTGCACAGATCGCATACGCTTTATAATGCCCTGTAATCCTGTTTGCTGAACTAGGCCAAGTGTAAATATTCCTGAATCAACAACGACATTCCAGCAGCCGTGCTTGTCGATAATTGTAGATAATATAAGATTGATATGGATTTGTAGTTCATGAATTTGTACAACAATTAAACATAAACCCCAAAAGTTTAAGGTGTATTATGTAGTGTTTAAAAGACATTTCATTCAGACAGTGCAAATTATTATAAATCTGATGCCAAAGAGCAGAAAGGGGGCACTGTAATACCGTTCTGAAACCACAGTGCTTTAATTTGTCTCCATTAAGACTTTAGTCTGACTCAAATGTGTATTTTCTCTTTGGCCATTCATCTTAAAGTCAGAATGCACAGAACATAACCTAGAAACAATAGTAATAAAGGTCATATTTGTTGTTAATTTCCACATTTGTGTAGCCTACTTTATGTTGTTCATACTTCAAGGAAAATATCCTTATATACTGTATATATATATATATATATAATATTAATTTTCTTTATTAAAAATACATTTCTGTGGTGACCAACTTACTCTGGAAAGTGTTTATTTTTGCATGTACCTAATGTCAATGATCAAACTTGAAAAAATGTAGAAAAGCCATTGTTACTCTATCTATAATACTGACAAGTGGAGTAACTATAGGCTACATTTCACCAGGTTCTTTACTATTTTATACTTTTATTCCACTACATTGGAATATTGTACTTTTTACTTCACTACATTTATCTAATAGCTTCAGCTTTGAAAGATTTAACTACTGTTAATAGGTATAATCAGTCGTTAACATGAGCTCAACCCAGATCAGCTACATTTAAATGCTTCTACTTATAATGTATTAGTATAATATATAAGAGTGCCAGCAGCTGTCGAGTACAGTTAGCTCATCATTTCTCTTCTTTTACACAACTAAGATTATTTCTGCAGTACTTTTACATGTAAGGTAGCAGTTTTTCCCTGGTGCATTACTACTTTAACTGAAGTAAAGGATCTGAATAGTTCCACCACTGGTGCTGATTGTCTTGATGGGTGCATCTGTAATGAAAACGGTTGATTTCAACCACTGAGAAGCTGTAATAGCTGCATGACTGCTCTGATTCTGATTCAACTTGGAGAAGGGAAGGCCCAAGCTGGAGCTGTCTGCCTCATGATGGAGTTGCCATGTGGATTTTAATGCCATTAAATTTTACTACCGCATTCAAATAAATCTCTCTAATCTATCAGAGCATCTACAGTACGTGGGAGTATTTGAATGCTTTGTTTATTTTTTAGGGGCCCTTTTCATGTAGTAACGTCTTGCTGCCACAAGAGTGCGATCACACTACATAACAGAACACCAGAAAACAAGCTTCTCTGATTCCATGACACACACACACACACACACACAGACACACACAGACACAGACATGCATCCACTTTGTGTAGCAGGCAACTATTTTACTGGTAATTCAATAAAGGAGGGATGTAAGTGAATTTTTGGATGAGCCTCGTCCATAGGTTCTATCTGCTTAATCTAAAATACACCTGTCCTAACTACCAGGGAAGAATTTCCAAAAACAATAAAGCTTCGCAGTAAATGAAAGCTGACAAGAAAAACGTTACCTTCACTTCTGTCTCCATGGAAACTTGCCTCGCTGGTCATTCTGTGGATATGGATGATATAGAGTGGGGAACACACACAGCTCTCTGTGCATCAATCCACTTAGCACTTCAGCGTGTGTCCTCCTCTAAGATGTCACAACAGCCGACTTCATTTAATTTATTTCACTGAGAGGAAATTAAAGGCCTTCCTGACACTGATGAGAATATGCCTCTGAATTCACTTGTAACCTTTCATTTCGGGAGAAAAAAAGAAGTGTGAGAAAGATGATTGGAGACTTGTGTCTGGTAGGTGTTTCTCAGGCTGTGAGATGTGATCAAACATAAAGCTGCGTTACCCAAGGCTTGTCGTCGCTACCTTTGAGTCTCGGTAACTGAGTAGTATGATGCCCTCTAAAGATCGAGAGAATGCACACTTTTTTCTCTCCCCCCCCCCTTTCTTTGCTGTAGTTGCATAGCAACAGAGGAGCTGCTAGCTCCAGTTGTGTTGGTGGTGGGAGCGCGCTGCACAGGGAGGCACTGGCTCGAGATTAAGCCTGTCTCAGCTTCAATTATGAATGGGCTTCCACTGCCACACGGCTTCAAAATGGCACCACTCAGATTGATAAGGCATTGAGGAACTATTCTTTGGTACACTTAACTCTTTTACTTCTTTCCCTTAGGGGGGGGGCTGACTTTGACTTTAATCAGAAGTATTGAACTTAAATGATTAGAAAAAGTAAATGAATAATTAACTGGTGGAGGAGGCATGGTTATGATAAGACCCTTGTTGATGGGAATATGCGAGGTTAATGACTGGGGTCAGTCTTAAAGAGTCTCCAATCTCACAAAGCCAGCACTTTACTAGTAAATGGGGATTAGTGTGTGTCGCATGCAAGTGGGGAAAAGGATAGAAAGGGCGATATGCTTTCTTGTAAGCCTTTACTACATTAAACTATGAATTTCTGAGAGGGAAAATTGTTAGATTGCTACTTTTGTTAGCCGACATGAACTGCCTACCAGTGATGCTGTTATTAAATGTGTCACAGTAACTGACGTGGGTTATTATTCTCTCTGATTATGGTCTTCATGCAAAGTCCGTCAAAAGGAACAGCCAAACTAATCTTCTGCAACTTGTATTTTTTATTATTGCAACCAACTGGAAGACAATACATCACATAAACATCATTGCAGTTTTTCAGAAAATGGAAAACAAAATAAAACAACATTTATATATTTTTTGCCACGGTATTGGACAACGTTGATATTTACATGTAGTGATGAAATAGGTCTTGAAATCATTCTTTGGCAATATGATTGCACAATAAGGAGAGAATTGAACATTTACTGAAAAAACCAACACCTGGGTGTACTCTGCATCACATCTCACAGATCAATAACAGTTTTGCATTTTGACATCTCTAACCTATGGCTTTCCAATATTCAGCTCAGACAGTCACTGAAAAAATAATGGCAGTATTGAAGATAATTTTGTCAGAGAGAAAACAAAACAGAAAATGAAAATGCGCATAAAAACATCAAAAAAAAAAAAAAAATGGCAACTACTTTTTTCTAGAGCATTTCATTGTGTGTTTGGCAGGTTTGAAAGAAACACTTGTTTTAAGGGGATTTTCAGGCAGTGAAGTATATTTCCTTTGCTTTAAAATATCCCACGTATATTGTATGTGTTGCTCTGTTTTTCCAGGACTCATAGGTCAGGAGTTCATCTTTCCTGCGTGTCACCGAGCGAGTCAGAGGAAAAAAAGGGTTGTTGCTAAAGCAACACATTCTCCCCTCGACATGCCTCTTGCCAGCTGAACACGTTATTAGTCACCACAACAGTGGATTGTTACTGCAAATACAGCAGAGTGCTTGACCCGGGCCGCGGGGGCACTCAGACAGATATCAGACGAGAGACGGATGGCACACAACAAGAACACTGACAGTGTCTCCTTTTAGCGTTTTTTTATATGTCGGCATGGATACCATACAAAATGCAAAGCCAGTGATGCATGCTACAGGTGGCAAAATACCGTACCAGTGGATGGGACATGCATTTGTTTGCCTGCTTGGCTCGCTGACAGTCACTCAACAGCTTAAACAAAACCCTTTCCTGACTCTGCTGCTACAACCAAACCCAGCCTATGTTTTCTCCTACAAAGCTGCTTTTTATATGCACTGCATCTCTGCAAGTGGGGGGAAATTAATACTTTAATGCATTCCTGTTTCAGCAAAAGCATGCCGAGTAATGGCAGTGCAGTATCTATATCACTTCTGATGCAAAAATGTCAGCGCTCACTACTGCCCTTGGGAATTTTAATCAAGTCAGTGTTTTATGACCCTAACTGAGGTACACATACACCTTGTAGAGTGGTCAAATATAACAAAAATAACCTCTGATCTCCAGATTGGGCTCTTGAGATAAATATATAATAGACTGTGTGCAAGCTTGACATCCACAACGGCAGCTAATTTCTTTAATCAAACGGTTAACAATACTGTATGTAAATGCAAAAGACAATTGTCATTTATGCCGTCTCCTACATTCCTCTTTCTTTTCAGTTCAACTCCCAAGTAGCCTTTTTGGAGATATGAGGTTCTCTCAGGACACCTACAAAGTTTCCATGCCCGTCTGATCCATACATTTACATTGAACAAAGCGGATGGAAAATAAGGACACATGTACATTTACACACAGGAGAGAGAAAAAACAATACTGTTATAAATAAAGACAGGTAACGTTCTGTCAAAAACATGTCAGAGACATGACAACAGAGGTACTGAGGGCAGGCAGGCAGGCAGGCACAATGTTAAAGGGTGTGTGTTCCTGGGCACACAAACTCACACACTCTACAGATGTGTTCTGAAATAACACTGGGGTTAACACTGAACACCTAAAAATCACTGTACAGGCAGAAGAAGACGGAAGCCCACCCCTAAGAGGTGATTCAGCTGGCCTACATAGCCTGACCCGAGGCCCGGAGGTGGCGCCCTCGGGGCCTCTAATTGCAGAGTGATCTCCCACATTCCTCCCTGAAGACGTGTCTTTGAAAGCCCGCTCAGAAAAACAGAACCCAAAAGATTCAATGAAACAAAACAAAACAAAAAAACAAAAAAACAAAAACAAAAAAATCCAATATAATCACGGGTATAAGAATTGGCGGCAAAACTTTTTTTCTTTCCTCTAGGATCAAGGTTTATATGAAAATAAGTCATGCTTCATGCTAAATACATTGTTTATCTTACATGATCTTTGAATAAAAAAGATTTGCTTTTTATCTTATTTACAAGCACCCATGCAATATAACTGAGAAAGTCCTGCAGGTCAAATTGCTTCAATTAAGAAAGGAAAAAAATAAAATATTTTCTAACCTTTTTACAGAGTTGCCCACACGGGACAAATTGCTTATATCTTTATGAGGGTAGAGTGAGGGTAAACAGACACAAACAGAAATCTAAAACCCACAGTTTATGTATATAGTTCTTTGACATTGTCAAATGAATAGGAAGGTGTGGTAGCTACTGGTAGCTACGATATCTATACCAGGTGTCTACGTCTATGGACAGAAGTACTGGGGAAGTTTTAGGGACGTTTACATTATGCAACAACAACAACAAAATGAAGGAGATATTGCCTCAGACCCGGCACACTATCCATCTCTATGGTGATAAACATGACCATTTTTTTTAAATTTTAAAATATCTATTCTTAAATACTATGAGTGCTCTTGAAATAAACCATGTCTTTACCCATGATGCTTCTATTATAAGTGGCGTTAAATAATCTTAAGTGCATGAATATATATCACATTGGGTTTTACAATTATTTTGACACTTAAGGTCATTCTCTCTAGCTCTCCTTGACTACTATGCCTTCCTTTTTTTTTTTTGTCAGCTGTCGTATCGGCTACATGAAGCAACCTGGTCGCTTATCTTTGGCACAGTCTCACATTTGTGCTCGTGGATGTAGGCGAGTGACGCTAGTGAGCGGCCGAGAGAGCCCCTAAGTCACGTTAAATGGGCTCGTCTCGTCGGCGCTGCCGTCTTTGCTGGCATCACTGCGAGATTGCTACAGATTCACATAGAAACAAACAGGTAAGACAAACAGCCATCTTCTGTGTTCGTGTACTGTACGCTCCTCAATGTGATTCGGTTTTGTCGTGTTCAACTTGTCCAAATTAGTGACAAAACATGCTTTTTTTTATGGCTTTCATCCCCTTTTAAACAACAAAAACAACAAAGACACATGAGAAATACCCATTGATGTTAGTGTTGCTGAACATGTAGGAAAACATAGATTTTTGATATTGCCACAAATAAGTAGGATTCACCTAATGCCCTGCAGATAGATAGAGGGAGATGAGAAGTGTCCGTTGAGACTAATGCTGTAGTAACGTTACCTGTTGACCTATTTGTGTATTGTATGTGTGTCTGTGTGCTAATGTGTGTGTGCGTGCGTTGAGCTGTATACTGTCTGTGTGTGTTTGTGTGACTATGTACTTGTTCTATGTGTGTGTCTTAGTTTCTCAGGGCCTCTTTCTGCTCCTTCTGGCCCTTGGCGGTGCGGTTTGTGATGTTGTTGAGGCAGGCTCTGACCCCCGCCAGGTGGAGCAGCGACCCCGCCGCCTCCTTCATCTCCTCGTCGTCGCTCTCCGGCGGCTTCTCCACCGCCGCCGCGCGCCGCTTCTTCAGCGGCAGCGTGTCGCTAATGCCCCTCGCTCGGTTTTTGGTCCAGGGCAAACTGCTCCCTGCCAGAGTCCCAGCTCCCGCCCCCGAACTACGTCTCTGTCCGCGCAGGGGCTGCTGGGAAATGTAGGTAGCGGCGGCAGTGGTGATGTGAGAATCCAGTGGGATCTCCCGGGGCTCGGGTTTGACGTCTGACTGGATCTCCACGGCGATGATGTCGTCGTCGTCGTCCAGCGGGGATGAAGGGTCGGTGACTTGGGAGGAGCACAGCCTGCTGGGTGATTTGGCGGTGCTGTAAGTGTGGTCGTCCTGGAGGTCCTCGCTGCAGGGCGGAGGGGAGTAGCAGGATGGGCTGTCCTGTCCTCGGCTTAGATAATCTCCCAGGGATGATCTGTATGAAGCAAGGACACAGAGCGGGAGAGAGAATATTGTTACTCCTGCTGTCACGCTGCCAGCCAGGTGGCCCGCCTGTATACGCTTCACTCCACTGAAGCTGCTCCGGTTTGCTCTGCATTTGGCTGGAAAGCAAGGAAAGTTCAAGTGATAATCTATCACCCTCAAATAGCCCCCTTAGGGCCTGATGTGCATATTTCTCAGGTCAGATTAAAACCTTGCATCTCCAAAAAAGAGTCAGCCTTTCCTATTAGGAATGAGCAGACTTATTTTCAGCCTGCCACCTAGGCATTTTTTTAAATGACAGAGTGCATTTTGAGCAGCTCTCATGCTTCCTCAACTTGCTCAGCACATAAAGGTCTTTGCAAGCTCTAAAGTCAGAGCGACACAGAATGACGACGCTGCAGCAGAGCCATTTAACCACTGTCCATTATACATCAGCTTCCACATTGTATTGCAACACATATATTAGTCAGAAGACACTTCTCTCTGTAAGACATTAAAGGACAGGGTTGTGTTGTGACATCTAATAAATCAAAAGGATCTTCAGCAGCGTGCACTGTCCCCTGGACATTTTCTCCCCTCAGAATGAGAGGGTTAGCATATTAATATCTTATAAGAAAAACATGCACCCCTTACAGTGATCAAATATTCACTGCATACCTTTAGTGAGACTTTGGCTATGTTTAATTCATTATGCAGTGCAGGCCATCTTACTCTTATGCTCCTATGATGGATGTGCATGTCCATGCATGCTCCGAATGTTCTTTGAATCATGAGGCCTCTCCCTCTAATAAACCTGTTTGTGTGTGTGTGTGTGACAGACCGTTATATAAACACACCTGGATAAAATGTTCTGAACAGTAGGGAGCTTGTGAATGCCTCTGACTTTTGGACACAATAAAGATGTAATTATGTAAACTATGAGTGGAAAATGTTGGTGTGAGGTTTGTTTTGTGTGTGTGTGTGTGCTTTTTGTGTTTGTTTGAAGGGCGACCGTATGTGTGCATGTGGGTGAGGGTGTGTCTGTATGTCTGTGGGGGAATGGGTTTGTGGTGGGAAAGCCCTGACTGACTTTAATTGTACGGTTGAGGGCAACAGGAGCAGAGGTTTACCCACCTTATGGCCGAGGTTCTGCTCCCCACAGGGCTAACAGGTAGGGGTCTTATCACAGGGAAGAGTGCCTGGCTTCTGACACGGGCGCCATTTTGGATCACACCACGAGGAACTAAAAGAGGGAGAGATCAGCAGACATAAGAATTTCTAAAACGCACAGATCTATGCACACATTAGTCACATGCAACACACACAAATCACTCTCAAAGTGGGAAGGAAACACGGGAAGATTCTCTAAAACCTCGATAAGACGCCGGAGCAGCTCGATGAGCATTCACTGACCATCTGAGGCCAACAGGGCAATATTGATGAGCAAGGCAAGGTTAAATTGAGCGGGAAAGCGTCATAAATGAGTTAAGGCCGCTGCGAATCATTCAATTACCAACGACCGCTGGGCTCGGCTAAATCCAGCCTGTCTGATGCTGTGGGCTGAACAGCAGGCGGCTGGAACTTAAAGGGGGAGACCACAGATTTGAAAATGTGAGAAGTTTTTCTTGTTTCAAACTTAATGAAAACACATTAATGTACTTTATTTTAAAAGCAATCCACATGGAAAACTCCAAATTCAAAAAGCAAACAAGGTTTTCAAACAAGAGAGAGGGGATGACACGCAAGGGCTACAGGCCGGACTCAAACCCATGACTGCAGCACCAAGGGCCGAGCCCCAGCACATGGGGCACCAGCTCCACCAGTTGAACCACCAGGGCATCCTGAGAAATGTTTTATACATTTATTACAACTTAAGTATTTAAGTATGACCCCAGACAGTTTTCTACTCTTGTTTTCTCAATTAATTGTCCATAAAATGTCACAAAATAGTACATAGTACAACATTTTCCTCACAATATTCAAATGCCCAAGTTGGCATATTCAAATTGGTTGTTTCTTTCGACCAAGACTCCAAAACCCCAAAGTAATCAACAAATATTAATTTAAAAAAGACTGGAACCAGAGCATTTTGTGCTTGAAAAATGACTTAAATGGTGAATGAGTCAATTCTTGTTATTGTTGCAGACTATTCATTTTCTGTCAAAGAATGTTGTTTCTCTAGATAGATACATCATTTTGACTTTGACTTGAAGGTGAACTGGAGTTGAATTAGAATCATGTCACACCGTTCACTGTGAATGCCGGAGTAAAAAATGTAAGATTAGAATGCGTCGAGCCGTATATTTGGGAAAGAGAACAGAAAAAAAGTTCCCTCTTCCAAGAGTTGTCCATCTGGTCGACAATATCCAGGCAGAAGGGGCCTTGGTCAGGGAGGAGAAAGTGGCCACACTGACCAGTTTTCGAAGAAACTGGAGAACCTACCAGAAGGACAACTCTACAGCTCTCCATCTAAGTGCCGTTTCTCTACTGAATAAACAGGCATATGGCAACCCACCTGGAGTTGACCAAATAGCGCTTTCTCTCATCTAATGAGACAAAAATTGAGTTCTCAGGTCTGAAAGCCAAGCATTTCAATTGGCAAAACCCAGGTGCTGCTTATTGCCTGGCTACCACCTGGTGCCACTACACTGCAGCACGACACTGACACCGTCATACAAACGGAAAATACAGACAGGTCCTCCTAGAAAACGCCACTGAATGGGGAAAAGAGCAATCCAGCAACACAACACTGTAAACCACACATCCAGGATAATGGACTGGCTTTGGAACAAATCCCTGAGTGGCCCACCCAAAGCCTGGACTTGAAGCCATTTGAAAATCTGTGGGGAGACCTGAAGATCATGGTTTACCAACACACCTAATCCAATCTGACAGCTGGTAGACTTAAAGCTGTTGTCTCTGCCAATGCATCTTCTGCGTACTGCAGTGACATTTTAGTTTCTGATTTTTACTACATCTGAATTTAAGGAATAGTTCAGCCTTTTGGGAAAAATACTTATTTGCTTTCATGTCAAGAGTTAGGCGAGAAGATTGGGCCTACTCTCTTGTGTGTACGCTAAATGTGAAGCTAGAGCTAGCTGCTGTTTAGCTTAGCCTTGGATAACGAATTTTAAAAAGATGTTTTAGAAGTATTAAACAAACAAGATATAATGAGTTAATTAGTGTTTGCCTTTGCACAGAGCCAGGCTGTTTCTGCAAGTCTTCCCTCTAAGCTAAGCTAAGCTAACCGGCTGCTAAATGTAGCCTCAAACAGTATGTACTCTACAGACACGACATGAGAGGTGTCTCTTTTCATCTACCTCTCAGCAGGAGGAGTGAATATCAATTTCTTAAAAACTGTCTGGAATAGATATTCACTTTGCCACATGCGATCAGCGTGTATGCTTACGGAAAAAAGAAAACTTTAAGGAATTAAATGTGTGCTGCCCATCAAGCATTTAAAATGAACCCACTTCACAAGTAATTCATTTGGAGTTTGCAGTGCTGTCAAGTGCGCCGATTTCTTAAGATTACTGGCAAACATTTTTCTGCGTTCAGAACAACACTGTCTCCGAGTGCCTAAAAAAATCTTCAGGGACTAAGAATTAAAATAAACATCAGTATCACCAGAATAAAAGCTTTTGTTATGCAGCCTCAGATTTTCCATCCAAGGGTCAAAGTCCTTTGACTGCCTGGTTTTCCTCCGATACCGTTTTCGTAAATACTAAATGGACTGTGAAAGACCAGATGGGAGATCTATATATATATATATATATATATATATATATATATATATGCTTTCAACTCTGGAACAGCTGTGAATCTAGTTTTTTATTGTCTGTTTTGCAGAAGAGAAGAGAGAGAGACAAGAAGAGTGCATGAGTAGCCTACATCTGAGCCAAAAGCTCTCATTACTCAAGGCAGGCTGCTCACCACAGCCATCCCAGTTCACTAAAACAGCTGTCATTCTCATCTCTAGGGTCAGTTTGCATTTTCGCAAATGATGACCTGCTGTTTGCTTTGTCTGCCGCAGAAACATTTGTTTTGGTGTAAATCCTAAAAACGTTTTACCATAGCATCAACATACTGTAGCTTAAGCTTCTTTTTCAATTCTGGTTTTAAATCTCAGTAAATGTATGATTGATTTTATGAGGAGAAATTTAATTCGCCCTGCAGGAACCGCAAGCTCATTACAACATACAAGTTGTCATGGCGAGGCCCCCCAGAAACCCGCCCCGCAACTGGTATATTTGGCTCATGTTGTAACACACAGAGATGAATTACGATAGATCTGTTTGTCATTTGTCATTGTTGGTGTGTTTCTGTAGCTTTTCCCCCGGCCGGCTGTGTCCACAGTAATCTTATTGACTCCAGTTAGTGTGGCTCTGCCCCTGATATCTCCAGCTCTGCTCTCCATAACCTTATAAGTAGGTCCCTGCACAGAGTCTCTTTCATAATCTTGATCACTCACTGCATGGTTGTGTGTGTGTGTGTGTGTGTGTGTGTGTGTGTGTTAGTGTGGGCAGTGCATTAGGTCTCCCCGGGTTGATGTGCACCCACCCCTCCCTCCTTCCCCACCTCGCTCCAGTCAGGCTTTGGGTTGCCATAGCAACGGCTCGCCTTCCACATGCCACAGAGTGGTAGATCATGCATCAGCAGAGAAAGTGATAGAGAGAAGCATAGAGAGAGAGAGCGAAAGAAAAGGGGGAAAGGAAATACCGAGCTCTGTTTGACATGGCCTCTCATAGCTCAGCGGCACACTCCTGACCACCACTGTTTACCCTGGATACACACACACACACCTCCATCCTAGCACAAGTGCGGACAACTCTCGTCTTATGTGCGTGCTCTGTATATTCGCCTCCTTGCTTTGCTGTTTGGGTATCTCAGCAAACCCTACTCTTTGTCTTTCTAATTCCGTCCTCTCTTGTTGATTTCTTTCCCTCTCTATCGATCTCGCCGTCATTCTATGTATAGTGGTGACTCATATCTCCGACAGAGCATGCACGCCGTCTCTGCAGGTAAAAAAGCCTGGGACATATGCTAAGGAGGTGAGGTGACAAACTAAGCGGGGGAAAGAGCAGGCAGCGCTCCCAAAGCCCGTCCTCACTCACTGAGATTGAGCAACACATTTTACAAGCTCAGAGCAATAAAAGGAAAAAAGGAAAGAAAGAAAAAATAACTCGGCTTGGTAGCAGAAAGCAGGACGCGCTGAGGAAAAAAAAATGTAAATACAGAAGAGACAAGGTGTCTGTCTGCATCTCTGCCTTTTTCCTGGAGAGAAAATATCTAGTCTGTCTTTTTTCCTACGTCTGCTCAGCTGCTCTGCCTTTCTGTCTGCTTCCTACGTCTTCGCCTGCCGCCCGCCTCCCCGCCTGCCTGTTTTCCAGGGCAAGCGAAGCCCTCAGCCTCCCTCCCCTCTCCGCTCTCATGTGCCGTGTACGCACTCAGCCTCCTCTGCTCTCCTGTTAAATGAGTTCCACATGGCCCTGCAGGCTGCAGTCTCTGCGCGGCTGGCAGAGGAGCGGAGCAGACAGGCACACACACACACACACTGGAGTCACACACACACAGTCCAAAAGGTTCAAAGGTCACTCCCAGCAGACCTTGAGAACGCAACCGTTTGAAAGTGGCCTCTCACTCAGTCAAAACAGCCCCCTCCTGTCTTTCTGCCTGCTTGGCTGGCGTGTGTTAAACTGAGTACAGAGTCTGAAGGGAGGATGCATACTAATGCTGTCTGACTGACTGTCTGGATTGCTGGTGGGCTGAGAACGCTGGCAGTTTAACTGGATGGCTAACCGGCTTGTCTATCTGACACTCCAGCTGAGCGTCTAAGTGGTTGGCTGACTGACAGGTGCTATGACTTTCGGGGGGGGGGGGGAAAAAAAAA